TGGTAGTTGGTTCCACAGGAGAGGAGCCTGATAACTATTGAAACAGTCATTCAGGTTTATAATCTGAACATCACTGGAGTGAATCATGGGCTTTAATAAAACTGATGTTTTGATAATTAAACTTGAAAAGTATCTTTCTGTATCGTTGTATTTTGGATCATGTGGCATCGTGCTCATCGTGGCCTCTGGTTCCTCCTCAGACGTTTCCGTCGGGCTGCGTCTGCAGCAGGTGATGAAGAGCCAGTGGCAGTCCAAGTCGCTGGAGAGAAGCAAACCCCTGAAAAAACTCTCACTTAAACACAAGCTTTCCTCGTCCAAAGAGAAGCACAAGTTTGCCAACTCCCTGATGGCAGTCAGTGAGTACGCAGCCTTGGAGCTGCTTCAGTTTTTATCACTTTCAGCATTATTAGTTTGTTCAAACAAAATTCTTCCTGATTTGTTTCTAACCCTAAAATCCCACGTCTTCCATGACGCTCCGCTGTGCTCCAGGCTGCCTGAGCGGAGCAAAGCCTGCAGCCTCCGCTGTTCCTCCCGTCCTGCTCCGCTCCGACTTCCTCAGAGCTCAGGGAGAACATCCACTAATTTATTATTAAATTCATAGGAGCAAAACATGCGGAAATGAACGCTTAATTTAATGACACATTAAAATCCCCATCAGCATCCAGCATATGTGTATTTTCTGCCCAAATATTTTGTTTTTGTAACATGGATAACAAGGATCATACTTGGTTTTTATGAACTCAGCATCTCTGCATCCATGCCTGCCATAAAAAGTTTGTTTTGAAGTTATCAGATGCGCTCTTAGGCATTTTGACTGGATTTGATTACTTTTAAGCCTTTGGGTATAAAATAAATATTTTGATCGAGATGAGAAATCTGCTTCCTGGTGTGTTGAAGTACCAATAGTTAGCATCCAGTCATTTATTTAAACTTAGAAGAATTAGAAGAATTATTCTCTAATTTGTAGTTACCGATCTGTCGTTACGATATTTTAATTCAACAACCCGGATCTTCACCATTCTTTCTCCTGTTTGGTGCGATTGTAATCGCGGATCTTGACCTGGCCGCAGCAGAGCTAAAATATCTCTGCTCCGTATTTTGACGTTGGCAAACGGAGCAGACATACGTGAGAGGTGTGAGGTGGCGAGTATGTGGAATCTGGGGGTAACG